GTACCTTACTGGGGTCCTTATAGTAAGGGAACCTTATTGGTATTTTAGGGGTCCCTATTTTCGTAAACCCCCATATGTCTCTTACAAAGCAGCAGCTGAAGCAATCAGGGCCGGCTGACCAGAGTCGTCCTCCAAGCCCGCTTTGACAGCCCAGGCTCGCCCTCGTTTCTGGCCGGGCATGACGTCTGACCTGAAGCAGAGAGGGGTGCTTGGCAGGGTGAATCTTCTAGGGTTTATATAGGGTTCAGGGTTTAGAGGGTTTAACATTGCAATATGAAGCCAGGAGGGATAGCCGGTATAGCTAGACAAGAAGTTGTTCCTCCGATAAAGGATATACACAAGAGGGCAAGAGAAGGTTTACATATATACATAGGTAGGGATGAGTTAAGGTTTTCTGGAAGGGCCTTTGAAATTCTTGGTTCAAGTAGAAGAAGTGATTTAGAAAAGGAAAAGGAAGTTGTTTGAACTGCCCAATACCCCCAAGTTTAGAAAGGCACCTAAAGAATTCAAGGGGCTGAGATGAAGACAAGGGCGTGTGCCCTGCAGCGGTTAATTGCAATCTAAGGCAAGCCCTGCATGGGGCCCTGGTGACTCATGGTGCTCAAGCAGGAGAACCTTTTGGCTGCCACGCTGATGCAAGACCTCCCCCGCCTTCCCCGGCACACTGGCAAGATTATACTGTGTCATCGTCACGATGACAACACTCTAGGTCACATGATGATACGGCCCGCTGCATCTAAAAACGCAGACAGGATCAGTGAAGCAAAATGCTCAGCCAAGGCATGATGCTGAGCCTGGGTGTGGACCTGCTCTTCCAGGCGGCCCATACGAGTGTGTGCAGATATGGAAACCCACTACCTAGAACCTAGAACAGGTTCTGCGGAAATGATACTGAAAGCTATTGTTCAGGCACAGGTCGCACCCACATCGCCGAAATTCAATCACGCTGGGATTGCTGGCACCAGCTCGCACAATCATGGCAAAGCATTATGCACAATGTTGGCACGTGTGGCCACATCAACGGCCATCTCGGCTCCGCGACGGATCAAGTCCATGTAACGCTTGAATGTCGAGTCCTCGTTCCTGTGGTTGTCCATGGACTGAGGGTTCTGCTGCAAAAGCTCCTGCATGAGCTGAGCCTGAGCAGCGGTGCTTCCCAAGTCCCAGCACGTGATTTGTGTACGTAGAGATGTATACAGCATGTTATGCCATGAGCACTTTAGAGGCAGTGTGTGTGAAAGAACACACAAATACTTCGTCTAAGCTGCAGACTAGGGGCAAGCTCGTGGGCTGACACAAATGCTGCGATCATACAGACATTCCAGTGGCCCGGAACCTGGTCCCTGGCCGCAAACTTGAAGGCACCAACCTGGGGTCTCCCAGGCTCATGGAGGTACTTCATGCCTGCCGTCTGGCGCGTCCAATAGATAGTCAGCTCAAAGCATGTGTTCGGATGCCGATTGTCCAAGAGAGTTGACTTCAGGACATCAAACGTCATGTTCCGGCACTTCTCAAAGCAATCCAGCAAGAGGTCTTTGATTCTTCGCACGCGCTCCTCGTCCTCTGGCGAGAGCGGGGGCAACTCAGCATGCTGCGCGCGCCGGCCCCTTCCCCTTCCCTTTCCACCCTTTCCACCCTTCCCGCGGCCCTTGGCGGGTGGAGCATCCTCAGCGCGGGCCTCTGCGACCTCCAAGGCCTCATCCGCTTCATTGATTGGGGCCGGCACAGGTGCAGCCTCTGGATTCGCCACATCTTCTGGCTGGATGGCTCGGGACTTTGCCTTTGCCTTTGCTTTGGCCTTTCCTTTGGGCTCAGACGAGGCCTTCGCCGAGGCCTTCGCCTTGGCCTTGGCCTTCGCCTTCGCTTTCGCCTCAGCCTTCGCCACGGCTGACGCCTTGGTCCTGGCCTGCCGCTTTGGTTTGGGCTCGTTCAGGAAATCATCATCCATCATGCTCCTGTCTGCGTCAGCAGACGACAACGGGGCACCCACCTCAGCAGGAGGGCCTTCCGCCCCCGCAGCATTCAACCCACCAGCAGCATCCTCAGCCTCAGCCCCCCGCTTCTTCCCACGCCCGATACGAGAAGGGCTCGCCACAGCCCTCAGCCTCTCCTGCTTTTTCCTCTCCTTTTCCGCCCTTTTCTCTTCCCTAATCGCATCCTTTTGTGCCAACTGTTCGCGACGCGTGAGAACCTTCAAGTTCCACAAGAAAAAAACCCTTTCTAGCCATTTTTGTGAAAGCACCGACCATCAAGAAACCAAACTGGCATATGTAAGTTCTATATAAACAATGAAGTCATTTAACACCTGCTACCCAACCTGACGCGGAGGCACTGGTGCATCGGCGGGCAATGCGGCCACTGCCTCTTCCGGGTCGGGGGCGAGCAAGGCGGCCACCGGCTCTTCCGACTCGGGCGCGAGCAATGCGGCCACTGGTTCTGCACCTTCATGAGACCCCGAACCCAAGTCCACAAGCCCAGTTGACCGAGCTAGCTTGGAAGGAGTAGTGCAAGGGGATGGGGCTGTTGCTTCTTCAGCAACCATCTGTGCATCACCGGCAAGGTCTTCAAACAGCTTCCTGCGTACGTAGCGAGCATGCTCGTCCGGGGGCGGGGAGTCCATTGGAACAACCAGCGTCTCATCGTTGTCCATGCCATAGGGAAGAGGTCCTCCGAGAGGAATTTGGGTTCTGTATGTCCTGTTATGTTAAAAAAAGTTACTAACATTTGAGTCATTCTAGTGGTCCAGAAGGATGGTAAGCCCAGTCGCTAATGATCCTCAGTTAACTTTAAAACAGTGTGGGTGCGCTGACATCAACTGTTATTGTTTTTTGTTGTTTCGAATGGGCTGGGTTGGGTGCGGGAAGAGATTTTTCACATACTTGTGAGACCTCCCACCACACAAAACCATATACATATACATCGATCGATGAACATCTACCGAAACACTTGTAAGTATTCATCTAGCTGAATGTAGCTTGCTACACACCTACCTCCCTACACACACCCTCACAGGTTCTGTCCTGACGGGCATGACGGGCGAGATGGCCCTGCTGGCTCACGGACCCCGACAGGGGCGGCTGCGCTTGAGGCGGCCGCGGCTGCACGTAGCCTCGGCGACTTGTGTTACTTAGAAAACATGCAGGCGGTCCATTCAAGAGAAAACATCCCCTGCCTACAGTGGAACCCTAACCTGAACCACATATAGCCCATCTCAACATGTCTTGTGCTGAGTCAAGTGGCATTTGTTTCTTCAGCTCAATCTTCTTTCTCAAAGCTTGCAGGCTGGCACAAATGCCTGGAGATGTGCATTCTATTTGGGAGGTGTTCTGGTTGATCAGTATATGTGTATGAAAACCCAAAAGCAACCAGAAGCTACTCAACGCTTTGGTTCGAGCTGCATGGGTTCTTGCGGCATGTTCGGCAGGGAACGGGGGGCACAGCAACATCTGGCCGAGGCATGGCGGCTGGTGCTGCGATGCTTGCACGAGGAGGCGTGGGGCTGGGCACAGGTGCGTCCGGACTGTCCAGCCACCTGCGAAACTCCTCAAGAGAATCCAACCCTGTTTCCTCATCGTCCTCGTAGGGGGATGCCTCGTCGGGCTCAGTCCCAAGGGAAGATGCAGGTCGTAGGTTCCGGGTCATGCGTTCGTCGATGACGGCCTTGGGGGAGGAGGGTGTTCTTGAGGCATACTTATGTTCTGAGATTTGTGTAGAAAAGGGGTTCGTGTGGTAGCCAGGCCTGGAGTTCAGGTCGGAAGGCAAGGAGCAGTTCGTGGAACCGGACATCCTGCAATGGGTCAGTGGGGTAACAGCCCAAGTTAGTACTTCAGAAACAGCTTTCCTGGTGACCACTAGAGGAACTTGATCCCTATAACAATTGCTTCGATCTCTATACTGAACTAAATTCGACTACCAGTCCTTGGTCACTTCCTTTTTCCCGGCCTTTCTCTTCACCAAACCCAGCAACCTTTTGATCTCCTGAGCATTGCGGTAGATAGTCTTATCTGGAATGACGCCTGCGCCAAGGATGGCGGTGTAGAAGTCGGATAGCTCACCTTGCAAGTTGCCGAGGTAGGGGAGCTTGTTGTCCGGCGAGTCACGGAGAAGCGCCAAAGCAGGAAGCAACACAGCTTTATGCCCAACAGCATTGGGGCGGGTGGGCTCAACCCACTTCGACCCTTTTGGGAGCTGCATGATGTCTTTGCCCTCACGAGCTTGGATCCGCAGCCCCGCTGCGGCCTCCCATTTCTCGCACAGACCGGAGCAATCCATGCTGTCGATCTAGATAAAAACTACCGCAATGCTAAATCTCCAGATCACAAGGTTGCAACCCTACCCGTCGCTTGAACAATGCAACAGGAAGAAGCTGCCAGATTCAGCATGCCGACCCTGACAGGTGACATGGCTCGCTTGGAGCTTGCAGCCTGCACGTGTTGAAAAAAGGCCTGAGCTCGCGGCTGGTGCCACCACACGCAGATGAAGAGCAGGGCGACATGAACAGGCATTCGGTTCTTTACTTATAAGATCTTCCCGTTCGTATCTCCACTTGGCCACCCAATGTACATGTGTTGGACTCAGAATGACATGTTTTCCTGGTTTCCAGGAAATTCCATAATTTCCAGGTTTCTCACGAAGCCAGACAGCAATTCCAGGTTTTACGAAACCAACCCACAAAAAAGGAGGCAAAAGAAGTAGCAGGAAAACTTTAGGGCTTCAGTGAGGGCTTGGATTCGTCTGAGGTTGTTAAGGTGTTCAAACACCGCAGACTCTGTCAGTCTATACTAGTTCTACAACACAGGCCCCGCAGTCACCTGGCCCTTCTCTGATATATATATATATATATATATTTACACATATATATATATACATGTGTACCAGTGGCTTCAGGTATATTCAAGATCCAGTAAAGATCTCGGGTACAACATTCTCGTAGCAATAGTACGCAAGAGTGAAGTGCAGGGAGCAAGCAGCTTTTCAAAGTGCAGCATGGAGTTTCTCAGGTTCCAAGACGACAGCATCCTCATTGTAGACAAGCCTGCTGGGAAACTTGCTTGGGAGGACAACAGACATCGGCATGAGCGTGGAACTGCCCTGAGAGTTGAGGCGGATACTTGGCACATCTTGGCACATCTTGGCACAGGACGAGCATGTCGAGGCTGCACCCGTTTTTTGTGCTGCATTAATGCCGCTTTCTTTCGATTCCCTCCCTCACCCTTTGCATCTGCGGGCTGAGTTCAGCCCAGGAGCACTTGCTTCTTGCTCCTGAAGCTGAAGTCAGTGGTCCGGCCGTGTACAGCACTCGCGCGGACCACGATCCTTCATGCATTCACTGCCGGCGGGAGTATTTCGTCTTGGTGGCTGGACGACCAGTTGCAGCTTGGAGCGGCGAATGGCTGTACTAGACAGCTCTTAGTGGGTTATGTTGCTGATAGTCAGCTATTAAATGTCACAGAGAGTATGAATGTGGGCGGGGGGTTGTGGCCGAAATCCGCACCCTTGTTGGGGGCACTTGGGGTCCGAAACATTTCGAAATGGCCCCACAAGCACGGATTCGTGCCAAAAGGACGCGACCAGTGCCCAGCTGCGCCCGTGTGACTCAGGGCCCGAAACGGCCACAGAGGGTACAGATTTCGGCCGGAGCGATTCGGGGTTGAAAGGCCGTGTGCTCATTCTGTCGGTTGTTCATGTCCTCGCCTTCGTTCGCTCTCTGCCTTCCCCATGAACCTTGTAGATCTTGCAGCCTAAGTTGCTTAAGTAGACCTGTGCTGAGACGGCTGTTCTTTACCATTTAGGTCGCAGCTTCGTCAAACGAGTTCACTGATCACAGTTTTGAGCTTATGCCAGTAGTAGCCGTGGATTCTTTCAGGGACTCAAGGGTGCGTTGGGTTGCATTGTGGCATTGTGAGTTCACCGATCGTCGGCAGCCGCACCAAACACCATTCACGTGTGTTAGGCTCAGCCGTAATCTAGCCTTTACAGCTCCACGGTGTGCTTCGGTTGCATGTTGCGGTACAGCTGCGTACGGGGAGTGTCTATGTCGTGGTGTTTGGCAGTTCAGTTTTTTGCTTGTACTGAAGGCTGAAGATCGGGTACGTAGTTAGCATAGTGGTCTTGAAGTGTCATTCGAGGAGTTTTCCTGCAGCGCTGCTCTGCGACCGGCGCGTGGCAAACCGAAACAGTTTGCTGCAACCCAGCTGGAAACACTGTGGGAGGGTCCAGACTGCTGCCTGGCTGCAGAATGCTGCGACCCACTGGCACCTGCGTAGCACTGCCTGGGCCACGCTTGCCATGCCCAACCTCTCACGGCTGTGCGACAAGGCACTCTTCTGCGAGCATCAGTGCATGGACCTGAGACAAAGTCTCAAGTCTGCAGGTCGGGCACTGGGGCACTGACCATGTGTATAGCGCTGTCATGTTGCAACATGTTCTGAACATGCTGCATCGACTTCTTAACTACGTTTAGAGTCACGCGCAAGGCATCTGCATCTTTTGGGCTTCCCAGTTTGGGGTGACCGCACTTGCCTTAGATGTCCAGGTGACGTGTATGTGTATGTGTATGTGTGTGTGTGTGTGTGGGGTGGCTTATGTGTGCTGAGAACATCTCTTCAAGCTCTGACAGCCAAGCTCGTCGTAGAATCACTGGTACAGCTTGCCTCTGATGCGCGGTAATTCTTGCTTCAGCGCCCTCGGGTTTCAGGATGTTTCAGGTGTTCGGATGTCTTTGGGGTTCCGGCACTTGGGGACCCGGAGCCAAACCCTGGAGGCCATGGAGAGTCGGCCCTCCGGGGTTCCCATAGAACTTGTGTCCTCTCCGGGGCTCACGTGTGCATCTTTTGCATTGGCGCATTTCCGTTTGATCCGAATACTGAGGCCGCTTCGGGAGCCAACGAGCGAACCTGCGCTCACGGGCGGTGTTTGGCCTGGCAAAGCCGTGGTGCCACTTGGGGCGTTTGGAGCTCTTTGGAACCTTTGGCGGCGTGCGAGTCGAAAGCGTGCCGCCGCCGGACCTGCTGCGTGCCTGGAGCTAAGATGAGAGAAGCTTGCTCGAGGATCTACAGTAAGTCGCTTCGCAAAGCACCAATGCAGGCACAGCTGGTTTTTGTGAACACTCTGATTGTCACCGGGGTTGCCACAGGGGTTGCTGCAGGGGTTGCATTGGTAAGTGCGAAGCACTGTTAAGTTAAGTACGCGTTTCCGAGGTCCTGCGAGCTGTTGGCGGCGAATGGGATTTCGTGTCATCGGTGCAAAGACTCCCTCCGGTGATGGTCTTGTCTCACCAAGAGAACGGACTCGGCGTCGCATATTATAGCCTATTGCGCAAAATGCACAAGCTGAAGCAAAAGAATTCTTCCTGCATGAAAACCTGCTTGTGTATTCTGCACTGTCAACCCGTTCCAGGCAGTGCCTGGGTGTTGAATGTACGAGCCTTGTATCTTGCTGAACCGAAGTGAGCAGTGAACTCGACTACATCTGTGCAGATCTGTGCGCCCAGGTGTAGCTGCGCTGTCAGCAGTGGAGGAAGCCTTTTCCCATCGTGCTGCAGAGGTTTTATACCTGAATCTGTCGGAACTTGCGGTCTCAGCGGCTGCAGCGACATAACATACATCAGACTGCACAATCCTGGCACGTACTGCGTGTGAAGTGAAAATCATGTCAGGACCTAGCCCGTTTCGCCAAGATCTTTGTTGTCGCATCGGGTACCGGAACCGCTCGTGCAGTGGAGGTCACATGCCAGCAAGCAGCATTCTTCACAAGACGTGGCGTTCTGAGTGTGATCATTTTCATCACAGTCACTGCAATGCTAAATCCACAGAGTTGAAAGTTTGCAGTACTGGTAGTTTGGAACTTGTCTTCTCTGTCTTTCTTCTGACCTTTCAATTCTCAAGCAATACTTGCGAGTGAAGACACATGTACGAGTGAAAGAAAGAGAAGAGGCTAGGAAGACACAGAACCACAAGATGCCAATCAGGAACATCCAAATGCAGAAGTTTTAGATCATCAGGTTCTTGAGTGTACACATCTGACACAGGTTTTTTTTGCAATCATTGCATCACGAAAAGGTTTTTGGGACTGAAGCCTTGATGGCCTGAGGTTTCTGCTTCTATCCCTCGGAAAACACTGGCTACACTGACCGTAAAAATCGGTCCTTAGATGTTCTGGGCCAAGAGGGATGCTCATGGACCACTCTCTCTGAAAATGTATCGCCCCTCCTCGCTGAAGAAAAGCTGTGGGGATCTTCTTAACTTTGGGGGAGCTTTCTGCACCGGTGTTGCCTCGATCGCGTAAGTACATATTGGGCTTGTCATGGAACGCAGGTTTTCCTAGGTTTGCGTTCGGATATATTGCACATTGGACTCGCGAGGAGCGAGCATCTTGCAAAGTACCGTCCGGTTACCGTCCTGGACATACTGGGCGTGGACAAGACGGAGAAGGGTGAAGAAGCCACAGGGTTCAGAAGCAAAAGGTCCAAGCACCAGCACGGAACGCAAGGCGAAGACCAGACCCAACCGTCATGAAACCTGGGTCCCATCTCAACCCGATTAAACGCCCCCACCCCAAAATACAAGCGGCACCACAGACAGAAGGTGAAAGCCGAACTAGTTCAGAAGGGATTCACACGGCGGGCCGAGTCCCAAGCCGGGACTATTCTGGTAGGAAAAATACCGTAATCCTGACCTCCACGATTTTCAAGGTTTAACTTCGTACCACTTACCGACCACAAGCAAATTCCAGAGAGAGCGCGAGGGAGGACGCGCCCGCTAAAAGCCTGCGCAGCAAGTTTGAGGCATGACATGGTACAAGTGGTAAGAGATGAATGTTCCTCCGTTGAGTATGCCGTACGCACGTTGGAAGATGTCAGGTGCTACAGGCAGCCGTCGATGTTCTGAAAGAAGCCTCCAAGCTTGCAGTTGCCCCAAGAATCCCAAGACTTGCCTGGGCTTAGTCTGGGCTTGCTCCGAACATCTCTGACTCGATATCTCCGAGGCGCCAGCTCCGGAGATCTGGTTTCTTGGAGCTCTCTTTTGCAGTTGTACGACTTCACGAGAGAAGAAGCCCTCAGTGCTCAGGTTTGTGATGGCAGGAACACAGGCTGCGCAAGCTGACGCTGCCTTACAAAGCGTTGATGCTGTACAGCTGCAGTGTCATCTGGTTGGTACTCATGCGGGAAGTGTCGAGTGTACGAATTTCATGTGTCAATGCCGTGACACTCTGCTGCTGGTCGAGTCGGTGATACTCAGGAGGACTTGGCTAAGAGCGATGTGCCATTCCACGCTGGTCTCTGGGGACTAGCTCGGTGTGCCAGGCACCATTGCATGAGCCTGTATAAAACCATAGATGTACATATTCACATTCTCAGTCTTGATATCCTGTACATCTGTAGACACTGTAGACATGAGCACCATCTGCAGGCGTGAGCAGCTCGTCATGGTCGGCTGCATCGACGTGTGCACCTTTGTGAAGTCAAGCTGATCTTCGAGAAAGAACGAAAAGAAGAAATTGAAATCCAAAAGGTACAAAACTCGCCACAAACAATATCTTTTGGAGTCTGCCAAGGGTTGAAGCTGTTGCACGGACAAATTGCCAATCTCTAAGGGGCTGAGTGCTGATGTCATGTGCAGTTATATGCATACGTATCTGTATCTGTACAAGTATATCAAATTGCGCATGCCGTTTGCGGCGAAACACAGCCTCCGTGGACATAAGGAATCTGAGCAGCTTTTCAATGCTAGTTTTGCCTAAGGTGGATTCCACTTCCGCGCGGGCAATCTTGAGCCGACTTCGGGCAGCACGATGCCAGCAGGACATTACTATTAACCGCCCTGCAGGTGCTTTTCTATCGACTGACAAGTGTGGTGCAAGCTTGTGCATGAGCATCTAGACTTGACTTGAAGCTCTTGTGAGTCGGTAGTCGAGCGGGCAAACCTTTGAGTTGAAGGATTTGAAGGTCTTGAATTCTTTAGATTGCGCCGAATCGTTCGAGTCCTCGGCAGGCCCCGGAGTACACAATGCAGACAACCGAATCTTTCCCGAAACTTCACGATGGTACACAATGCTTGATCTCCTGCCAAGACGGTTGAACTGTCTTGCAACACCCCGTCTTATAAACTTTCAATAAGCCAGGAGGACGATGCCGAGCTCGCACCAGAGACAGAGCTCTTGGTACGAAGACTAACGCTGGACGCAGAGGAGATCATGCAAATGGCATGCACAAACACTACGTAGAAGCAGCAAAGATACTGCTTGGGTCACTTGAGCTTTCGTCCCTCCCCCTTGAGGCCCGGGGTCCCAGGCGCAAGTCCCCCGAAACATGTTTGGCTGCTTGGGCCGCTGCGAGGCCACGAGGCAGTGTGGTTTCGAACCCTCTGAAATCGTTAAGTCATCCACAGCCGTCACGACTATCACGACCATCGAGTGAATCACCTAGTCTTGCGGAGTCAGAGGAGTCTGACAGCAACGACGAGAGCGACTTCGAACGCTATGTCGCACGACTAGAGCAGACATCGTCCGAAGCATCTCGGATGTGCGAAATATTTCAGAAGTGCCAAGTTCCCTTCCTTGCATCTTACCTTGCCGCGTCTTCCAACGTCTCCTGATTGCCACTGCCTTGCTCAAACAGTTGCAAGCATTTCAACCGCAGGCATCGCCAACCAAAGATTTTGCAAAGTTCTTGTTTGCTTCCTGGAGGCGTGGGGCACTTGGCCACCACCCACCTTGCCCAGCGGCGGCTGGTTTGTCATCAGCCCGGGCCTTATCACCATGCACGGCAGCAAAGCATAAGCATCTGTGTTCATGCGCAGCGCGGCATGAACTGCAAGAACTCGCCGACTCGTTGGAACTTCTTTGGTTGACACGCATTTGATCCTAAGGTGGTGGCTGCAGCGGCCTGGGCCTCGCATCAGCTGCTTGGCTTGCTACGCAGGCACCCACAGCAAGCGTAGCGGCGTAGCACATGCCAGCAGCAACATGGTGCATGCTAGAAGGACGCAGCGCGCGATTCGGTTCGTTGGTTCCCGCGGCCGGTTTGTTCGCATACATTAAGGGGCCCAGTTTGCCATCATTCCACAGACTTGATATTCGATTCGTCACGTCTGTGCTTGCACCTGCTTGTGACCTGCAGCCAATTCATCGGCGGCGCTCCCTGCAGAAGTGTTGCGCGTTTCGGGTTCTGCAGCCATGCTGCTCGCTTGAGGCGCAAACTTGGCAAGCGCTTTCTATGGCTATGGCGTTCTGTACAACCTTGAAGCGACGTTCGGCAATTGCACTGATCAGATCATGCTCGAATGCCGGTCTCGGAAACTGTCCGCTACAACTCTGCTATTCGTCACCTAGGCAGAGGAAGACGATGGAGGCAGGCACTGGAATTGTTTGTTGGATTTCCCAAACTACAGCTGCAACGCAGTGTAGTGGCCTTCAATATTGCTCTTAACGCAGCTGGAAGGGCCAAACAATGGAAGCTTGCAGCGACTCTGCTTCCTCAAATTCGCCTGGCATTGTTGGAGGCAGATGTAATTATCTACAGCTCGGCCGTGAGCGCTTGCAATGGGCTTGCCTGGCAAGCAGCTTTGCAGTTGATGCTTGATGTCTGCTCTCTTGGTGTACAAGAAGATACAGTTCTTGCTGGCTCCTTGATCAGTGCCTGCGAGAAGGGGCGGCAATGGCAGTGGTCTTTGCACCTTCTCAGCAGCTTCAAACTGAAGCTCAACGTTCAAGTTTTCAATGCTGCCATCAGCGCTTGTGAGAAATGTGGTCAGTGGCTTCAAGCTTTGACATTGCTTCGAGAGGACCCTTGAACTGATGCTCAGGGCTATTCGGTTCTTGGGATTGGCTACTACAAAGTAAGAGAACACCAGATTTAAGTTTTTAGACGTCTCCAGCATGTCATGTCCGTACATTGATTTTAGAAATGTCAATCCAAAAGGCCATTTCAGTTCGATTTTGCTTAACGAAGTCAATCGCTTTAATTCGTTCTGAGAATAAGATATCAAAAAGATGCCGACGAGTTTGCAGGCGGCAAGTATCAACACACACACACACACAGACAGAGACCAGATTTGAGGAGATGCTGGAGGTGCATCTGGAGCCTGACACGGTGTCTTTCAATGCCGCAATCAGCGCCTGTGAAAAGGCCGCTCGTTGGCCCACAGCCCTGTGGCTCCTGGAGGTGGTCGAAGAGGAAGCCGTCGAAGCCGATCTGATCACCTACAGCGCCAGCATCAGCGCATGCCAAAAAGCAAGCCAGTGGCAACACGCCGTGGCACTCTTCTGCCATCTCCTCTCAGAACGCTTGGAGGCCGACAGCATAACATACAATGCGGTAATCAGCGCGCTTGAAAAGGAAGGCTCCTGGTCAGAATCCTTGGGTCTCTTGGCGGACCTTCAGCACAAGAACGTGTCTGCGACCCTTTTTACTTACAATGCATTAGTCAGCGCATGCGACAAAGCTGGTCACTGGGAGCATGCGCTGTGGGCCTTCGTGTTGGCCAGGCGAAAGGCCGAGATAGATTTGATAACTTACAATGCCGGCATCAGTGCGTGCCAGAGGGCTCAGCGCTGGAAATCCACGCTTGATTTTCTAAATCAAGTGGGACAGAGCCGTCTCAGGAGTGATGTGGTCACCTACAATTCCTGTCTGATTGCTTGTGGTGCCGGAGATCGTTGGAAAACAGCCATGCTTCTTTGGGTCCACTCTCAGCAGCACCAACGGTTGCATGATTCGATCCTTCACAGCTCTGCTGTCACGGCTTTCAGTGGGCAGTGGGCACTAGTTCTAACCCTGTTGTCCTTTGTTGAAAAGACACGCGTGGACGTGGATGCGGACGCTATTGGCATTGCTCTTACCGCATGTGAAGGAGGAAATGATCAGCAAGCACGACGTGCCATCAGCCTCCTAGGAAAATTGAACGCTGATTGCCACATCGCCCTTCGGGACGTTTCAGAGTTTGGCAAGTGGGCATGTACATACTCATCATCCATGCAGTAGCAGCTGTAGTCTGCACATGCAGTTTGCGTCTGCGCAGTCTGAGCCAGACATTTGTGATGGGAGGTCTGGCATGAACAGCCATTGCATTTCTGTACCTCAGAAAGTCCTTCCTGTCGAGCGAACATGAAATTTCCTGTAATCCAGTCGATCTAGGTGAAAAGTGGTTAACGTCTTTTTCTCACGTCAGGCTTTTCCTGACACCGGCCGGATGCTTTGCAGTGACAAAAAAAAGAATCAGATTCCAGGGTGGCTATTCTTGTACTGAGAAATTTGAAAGTTCTATACAGCCTTGCTCTCAGAATTACCAGGTGCATTGTTTTTTGCCTTGCCTATACATGCTTAGCCAATTGACCTTCGGAACAAATATGGGAACTTCGAGAGACGAGCCATGAGAAATGAACGGATTTATAGTGGCATTGCATATCGTAGACTACAGTCATGCTTTGACCAGATCCATTGCACAGGGGATTCCAGTGAAAAAGGGTGTAGTCCAGCGCAGTTCTGAAGTGCTGGCAGAAGCTTGACATGAAGGGTCCCATTTTCTAACACATACTTTTGCCATTGCGTTTTTTGGCCTTGCAGGGAGTTTCGCACTTGGCGTTGCTGTCCCGCACTGGACGATGCAAGGACGCGCTCCAGAGCCAGCCTCGTTGCACTTGAAATCAAGAATATAAGGCAGCATAGAAAGCAGCAAAGTACCAGCTACATGTCTGACGATACGAAAGGACGACGCACAACTTCAGACTCTGGAAAAGATGCGCCTTGGACACTGGTCGTGCAGTCCTCTAGACCGCAGCTTGAAGTTCTTGAAGCACGGTAGCAAACCTGGTCACTCGCAGTTCCTTCTTCTTTAGATGGATGTAGCAGGTCGTCTGAGTCTCTCTGACTTCCGCTTTCACTTGAGCACAGCTCGGACTAGTGAGCGGCAAAGGTGCGAAGCTTGTGATCTCCGAGTTATCCTTCGACCGTGCAACATCGCCGTCAAGAAGGAGGTGTGTGACTTGGTTCGTCCACTACCAGTAGAGCCCGAGGTCACCGAGGTCAGAGCTCTTTCCTGCACCAAAGTCACTTTATTCGCAAAAGCTCTGTGAGGTGGAGGACACGCTGGCTGGCTTGCAAGAATGTGATACCGCTTCGGTTAAAGGCTGCTGGCACGGAATTCACGAGCCACTACATTATGTTTAAATGCCCGCCTCGGCCGAGAAGCCAAATCGAAGCGCAACAGGGCAGGGCAAGCAAGCTTAAATGTAGAACCCGCAACAGCAGGCAGAGTTGAAACCCGGCCTCTGCTCAATTTGAAACATGCCTGCTGATTTCGATTCCCATACCAAGCAAGTCAAGTTGGAACTATGACGCGAAGTGAGAATTCTTGTGCAGAAAGAATGCAAGGCAGGCCGAACATCCAAAAACATAAGCCGATGTTGGCTGCAAGCGTAAGCATACCACAGCACATGGTGGATGCTGCGCAGCGTATGTCGTGACTAGCAGTCCTAAAAGGTCTAGCACTATCCATCCCAGTGTCTGAACGCTGGACACCTAGCAAGTGAGTTCACATAATTCAACGTGAAACAGGCGATGGAAAGGAAGGTGTTTGGAGAAACGAGAGCCCGCTGATGCTTCTGGTGCGCGGGTCCTTGTGGTTCCCAGGGGGGTCCTGGGGGGTCCCGAGGCTTCTTTCGGACCTGTCTTGCGTTTCAGGTTTCCATTAAGTATCTTCTTGGATCTTCTTGGGTTCTCAGCAAAGCGTGCCTTAAGCCCCACCTCCCCCACGCGTGCTACCGTTTTGGAGCCTTGAATTCCACTCACAAACATCTTCGCATGCTGGAAAACAAATGCGCTGTGTCATGCAAATGAGGGCCACCTTTGTTCAGACCGGTCTTGGGTTTCAAGGTTCTGCTGTTTTGTTTCTTGGACGAGATGAGCCTTGGGCCCCACAGCCCTCGCATGCCTCGCCTCCCTTGAACCATGCCTGTTCGCTTACTTGCAGTCCCCCGGGGGAAGCCCCTATGCGCGCATATGAGCGCCCTCCGCCTTGCAGAGCTTTCGACCCCCGCCCTTTGGGCGCAAGTTGGTGCCACTTCTTCGGATTACCCCTTCTTTAGACGTGTCTGCCAGGGGTGTCTGCTTGCCCCTTGATCGCTACCAAGTACGTGCATTGGAGTATGCGGGTGATTCGCTGCTGATGGCACGTACTGGCCAGACGGCCAACCGACTGCTCCACGTCCTCCAACAGGTCGCTTCGACGGCAGGTTTGGTTCTTCATCCTGCTTTAGACCCTCCATCTCGCCGTCAACTCGGAGTGGCCCATCATCCCTGCTATGGCTGAGGTCGGTGGGAGGTGCCACTGCCATTTCTGCGACGAGTCGCAGACTTGCCCTCACGTGTGCCCTCTGCAAGCGAATTACTATGAAAGAAGGGCGGTGTTGATCCCAACCTGCGTAACCGTCTCAGGCTTGGCCACTTGGCTTTTGCTAAGTTCAAGTTTTTTCCCGAATGTCGGGTATAACTCCAAGTCTACACCGCTTTGTTCCAAGCGGTGTTGGTGTATTCGTTGCAGTCTGGGATTTTTGTCACCATCGCAATGGACATGCTTGGCATGAAAGTGCTTCGCAGCATTCTTAAGCTGCCTTCTGCGTATGACCCGCTGAATTCGCCTGTCACTGGGGCCGTCCTGAAAGTCTTTGTCCCATGTTGTCATGTCACGGAGATTGCATGCATTCTTCGTGATGGTTCGCTGCCTGCTTGGAGTGTCTGTTTTCGGCAGGGTGTCCTCATTTACCGTCGACTCTTCTCCTCTCAGCGTCGCGGTCGTCCTCGTCCTCGCTGGGCGGAAACTACCATCGCTCTTGCGTATCATAAACTCAATACTCCTCGACCTCAGGCTCGGGAGTACTCGCATGCTTTCTTTTGCATGCCGACCCTCCGAGACACTGTCTCTGTCCTTGGGGAGTCCCGAAGACGTCCGTCTCAGTATCGCGGAAGCCCATATCTTGAGGACTATCCAGGAGAAAGTCTACAACCGTGGCGCGTTCAGAAGACATGTCTTGCGAGTCCTCTGGCGCATGTTGAGCGAGTCCTGGCTTTTCTGTGCTTTTTGCACGCATACTGGCATACCCCTTGGAAGGAGAAGAAGAAGAGGAAGAAGCGACCGCGCAGGTCACTACGTCCAGTGTCAAACAATTTTCAAGCCTCGACTTCAAAGTGATCGCAAACCCATTGGGTACTGGGGCTCCACCAATTGGTACGGAGTTTCCCAGGTTTACAAACCTGCAAGCCCTATATTTGTCTTCACACGGATTTGTTTCTTGACTTGTTGTTCAACTGTCTATTTTTTCATTTTCGTTCTCATTCTTTTTGTCTTACTCTTTCTCTGTCTTTGTCTCTCTCCAACTTTCTCTGTCTCTCTCTCTCTCTCTCTGTTTCTCTCTCTTTCCCTCAAAAATAGTGAGGTGCTCGTTGCTGCGTGAGAGTATGCCGCTCGCTCACCTTCGCTCTTTCTCTTTCTCTTTCTCTTTCTCTTTTTTTTTCTATCTCTCTCTCTCTCTCTTTCTTTCTCGCTCCTTACACAGAAGCTGAAGATATTGTGCCGGAGAGCCTCATTCAATCAAGGGCCTTGGGGAGGAGTGCCAGCTGGCTGCCAGCGGGAAGTCTAGTCTTGGAGGCTTAGGTTGGATGTGGGTATTTTGAGGCGCCGCGGCGGTGTAATGTGTATCACGCCCGCAGCATTGAGAGGCATGGTCAATGTATGTTAATATAGAATACGTCGGTGTCGATTGAATGGTCTGACCTGGAGGCATCTTGCATGCAGCAGGTGTGCTGGAGGATCGTGCTCCATCATGCTCTTCATGACTTAGGTTTCAGGCATTTGCAAGTCCGTTTCAAGCCTGTCAGGATCACACGATCGCCCACCTGGAGACCGGCCACATGCTGCCCGTGATTTCTCCCAAGATGGACCGAGCAGATCGTCGTATCATGTTGACATATGTTAACATTTGAGCGACCGCTTTTATTACGTTGCAGGAGGTTTCTTGTGGCGGAGATAAAAACCTTATGTCATGCCTGAAACCTCGGAAATGATAGGCCCCCCCCAAAAGCGATACCCTGAATCTTGAACCTAGAAGTCGTTCTGCAACAATGCGGGGCTGGGTGTTATTCCAGAGCGATACTCAAAGCGATAACCCTACGATACCCATTTGGCCACCCGAAGAGCTGGGCAAAGGCCCTGGCCCAGGTTGAGGGTTCGAGGTTTAGGATATGGATTTGTTTATAGGTCCTGAAGAAAGGAACGGGTTTAGGAATTCAAGAGTTTTCACGGTAGGGTTGCAGGTCTCGGGTCTCATATGCAGTAAAGCGATAGGTTTTCGTAGCAGCATTGAGTTAAAGTCCCATAAAGCGATAGGGCCCCCCCCAAAAGCGATACCCCATGATTTTTTAATTAGCATTTACATAAGATTTTTTGCGGCTGCTCATTTGACTCATTTGACATTCACTTGTTGCTACGTGGAGGACGGAGCTGTCAATCTTCACGCCTTCGCCTTACTTGCTGATGGCAATACAGTCCTTCATGCAGCAACTTGGAGGCATATGCCACAGAGCAGCCTGGCGCAGGAATCATCAAAACATGTCGAGCACTTTGTGCTTTATTCGTCAGTTGCGGCACTGCTGGGCTCTCCAGGGTCGGCACAGTGTCAAAGCTCTGCTGTTCCAGTGCCGTTGCTGCCGTGGTTATGCAAACACATTTCGATGCATTGTGCAGGCAGGGCAACTATGCTGCTGCCAATTCGTTCCTGGATTCATTCGCCCTTTTCCGGCATGCTAAAGGCGTGACTCCTCACTGCTTGTGCTTGTCCATGAAATTATTTCCAGATTGCTGGACTGCACAGGTTTGCCTGCACTTAGTGTGCAGTGGGGTCCATGGGCAGATGTGGGCACCATAGCATGCAAGGAAATCTCTCAAATGTTCAGGTGGGTTAAAAAGCGACTGCGGGCCCTAAACGGTATGAAAATCAATGAGTTCATCACATTAGGCTACGCCCCCCTCCCCAATAAGGCTTTGTGTGATTTTTTGTTGGGTGGAAGGGAGGGAGGGATTGGAAGGATCCAGGTTTGCGAGTTTGGACGTTCAGGGCACTCAATTATTTCATCCTCAAAGTTTCAGCTCGTTAGTGTGTCACTGTGTGTCTGCACGGTCCGCGCTGTTGCGTCAGAACAAACCGGCCCGTGTCTAGCTTTCGTGGCCACGGTCTCAAGTAGGAGGCTGTCAGGAGCAAGTAAGTCTTGCCTGCTTTCGCGGCCACTCTATTGTCAAGTTTTGCCCGTTAGCATAAACCGAATCGGTGGCGTCATCTTATCATAGGGGTCTTATGACAGGGGCCATAGCGGTGAATACGGAGGCCATAGCAGGCGCGGAGCAGGCAGGGAGAAGTGCGTGGGGGAGAAGAGAATGGGGCATTCTGTCCGGATGTCAATGTGCGAGGAGCGGTCCTTAGGCATGCTGCTTCAACGGATGTTATATGTTTAGCTAAACTTATCAGTGTATGTGTAGTACTTGTACTCTATACATCACTCAAAGTCTTTGAAATATTGCGTCTTGGTTGGCCATGACTAAAAATCAGCATTCCATTCGTGATCTCTTTGCCAGCCTTCAACAAAAACTAAGGCGACATTTGTTTTTCATCAGCGCTAGTTTGGTTAAAATGCAAATCGTTTCATGTGTCAAAGCATCTCTAGCATGTAACTGATCAATCAGCTAAAAATACTCTTTGCTCGGCGGTTTAGACAACACCCAAGTCCAGATTTTACCATCAAGTGTTGAAGTGCGTGCAACGGATGTGCCAACACCAAGAGATGTGATTTTGAAGAAGATGATGCTGAACAAACAGACCTTCCTGCTTCAGTGCTCGCCATTCTTCAGTTGATGATAGAAGTCGTTTCTTCTGTTCGACAGCTGGAAACCTTCTGTAATTCACGAGTAAAATTTGTGTCCCACCTACTCTGGCTTCAACCATACGAACCGTAAATGCATTTATCGTCTGATTCCCCGTTTAGTAAGGAGGACACGGCATCATTCCGATCCATCTAAGCACAACAAAAAAGTTCAACCATCCTAGGCCGCATGAATCAAGACACGAAATAACGCAACATTTTTCTAGAGCAAGGAATGAAGAAGAAGAAGAATGCACTATTTGCTTTTTTGGCGTCGCCTCGTGGCATACCAAGCTTAGAATGTGTAAGAGAGAAGACTAGAAAAGACCGATACGAGGTTATGAGAGACATTGTCAATGAGTTGGTCCATGGACCAATGGAAAATCACAAAACACATAAGGTACCGGGGGGTGAGAAAAGGGGGCGTACGGCAACAAGGCTCCAAACACCATGTTGGAAATTGGGTGCGAACAGTCAAAGCCAAAGAAGCAAAAATCCTACAGCTTGACCATTGCCCACCATTGTTCCTATAGGTGTCATTTTGTAGTTTATGCTTACACAATCAAGCTTAATGTGCTGAATGGGACTTAAAGAAATGACGACCTAAAATTGTAAGGAACGGAGGAAACTACTACCACAAAATGCTCATCATGTGCTAAGCTATAGCCAGTAGACGACTCCAACAAAAGCCAGTGCCTAAAATATTGTAATCACACGCAACATGGAAGTTGACCTTTCTTCTTGCGGCCAGGAAATCACTGTACGCAGGCTTGTTAGGAAGTCGAGCGAAACTGCGTTTCCTTCGGGCGAAGCAGTCGCTAAGTCATCAAGGCTGCAACGCAAACCGATATTCTGCAAGCAATGCATGGGTTTTTGACAATGTCGCCTCTTCGTATGTTGGCTGGTCTTTTCTGGCATGTTGAGCCCAAGCGTTCCTTGGGGATGTCGACATTTGCGTACAGATTTTAGCTGCTTGTCGTAGCTGTGAGATCCATGCGTTCATTGGGGGCAAGGGATCCCGTGGTCGACTTGGTCAACTTCCTGAATCCTTTGCGTTAATTGGAGTTTCACGTCTCCCCCAGCGCCTGGCTTTCCTACCAACAAAGCATTGTCAAGAAAATCAGGAAGAACGCAATGCAAAAGCCAGCGAGTATAAGGAACCACATACAAGGAATATGTGAACACAAACACAAGCAAGAAACAGAAACACAAAGGTTTTTGCGCATGTGGCAAATGGGAGTATAGAAATTTTCTGTTCTAATCACTGTAAGGGAAACAACGGTAGCCATGCGCTGACCCACAATTTGCTGCTGCGGTTACTCCACGTTGCTCCTCTTACGCGCATAAAGCGAGGAAGAAAAGCAGTCTTTGAGAAGGTTCTCTTCTGCTTCAGTTTATGTCTTCTGCTCAATGGAATTAGCGTGTGTCTTTGTAGCACCACCACTAAGACAGCAAGCCACTAAGCCACTAAGCCACTACGTCACTACGTAAGCCTCAGCCGAAAGCAGCGCAGCTAAGGCATGGCTGCCCGAAGCGGAGTTGGCGGACCCGGGTTTTGGGCTCCGAAAATCTCTCCGGACAATGCCCTACAGGCGACGAAGATTCAAATTAGCGCTTCAGCAGGCTTCAATCGCGGGTTTTAGATGACACGGTCGCGTTGTCAGGCGCTGTCAGCGGTCATTGCAACATCTGGCAGAGGTCGCAAACTTCTCGCAGTTTGTGCTGCACGTGTCCTGACAGCACGGCGCAGGGCCTGCAGCCCTCGGCATCACGCGCATCAACTGGTCGAAGCCTGTGCAATGCAGTATCATTGTGTCATGTGAGATCATTTCGCGTCCAAGTCGGTGCACAGGGCTTTGAGCAGCGCATCAGGTCCGTGCTACTCAAGCGCATGTCAGCCATGCCGCCTGCCTGGGCGGATTGGAAGTCTCACTGGGAGCGTCCAGGCGCACAATAAGCTGGGATTTCCTGGATCCGGGTTAGATTGCTTAGGATCCTGAAGTCTCAAGCTCAAGCCCATCTTCAACAGAATGGAGCCGAGCTGTTGTGCAGACACCACGCGGGCTGATTTGGTGTCGCAAGCAGTTCGGCAACTTCGGCCACCTCCTTGGCTGTTAGCTGAATGAACAGCTGTAGAACTGTTGGCATGTGTGGCATCACCAAATGCCAAGGACTGGCGCAGACCAAGGTGCTCGCAGCGTTGGAGTGGAAAGTGGACCCAAAATGAGAGAAATCTAACTTTTGAATGGGGGGTCCTTGGAAATCTCTGGGATGTCATGGAAGCTTTGCCGTGGCCAGAGCATATTGTCACGGAGCATGTTGGAGTTTTCGCAGGTCAGACACAGCAGACAAGGGCTTGCCGACCACTCGCAACATCCGTAGGCCGCCTGCTGTGACATCTGCAACATGTTGCCACGCCAACTGCAACAAAATTTTGCAAAGCCGCAGCCACTAGACTTGCTGTCAAGAAGGCGACGGCATCCCCATTGGGCTGGGTCTGTCTTTTGGCAAGGGCCTCATATCCGAGACCCCGCGACCCGAGAGCGTAATATAACCACCGACACTGAAAACTCGGTACGTGGAATCAAGGCACACTGGGAGCTGGTGCTCGCTTTCCCCTCCCCGAGCGGCGTCCATTGGCTCGAGGAGGCAGAGCCTGAAACAGTGCCACAACCTCAACAATGTTGCAGAAGGTTGCCTTGTGTTTGAGCGGTGCACACATGCAAAAGCCTTACAATGCCTTACAATTCTTGCTGTCCCGCAGGAGAATCAAGTGGAAGTGAAGAATCGACGGACTCAGAGTCTGATCAATGTGCGGGGGCTCGTGGACTTTGATTGCAGCATGTTGCAGCATATTGCGAATGCTTCGAAACGTTCTAGTGAATTCAGCGCCCATCAGACAGTTGTGTAGAGCGGCATGTTGTGAAAAGCAATCTCTCAGAAAGCGTTCTTCAGAGAAGTGGACGAGAGATGGAGGCGCGGAAAGGGAAAAGTAACTTCTGCTGGTGGCAGCTTCGAGTGGCACCTCCGCGATTGTAAGCAGTTGTAGTGCAGCACAGTTGCCGCGTTGCTGACGCGTGTCTGTCCTGATTCCAATAGAATCTTCGAGATCAAGCTTAGCGGATCTCCTTTTTGCCCAACACAAGTGTTGCAAGACGCGCCTGCGATGGTCACGAGCTTATTAATGCTTATGGGTATCCGATTCGTTACTTTGTCACATTGGTGCCATCAATGCCATGGCTCATCAAAACAGTGCTTCTTCGTGTCTGAGGCAACAGCTCTTCAGGCTTGTCCAGTTGCTTGTCGTTAGGACTGAGTGACGCTGAGAATGAGGGCCGACAAGCCCGTCTTTTATCGCTTGACTGCTATTTGCTCTTCAGGCAATGAAGTCGCAGCGCCGGCTGATGGCGCTGCAGGCGGAAGAGAAAAGAGCGGATCTGTGTGTGTGTGTACTGTCTGTGTCTGCTGAGTTGTTTTGCTCTCAAAAGCTTCTTCAACGTTGCGCGCAAGAACGGAGGCCAGAAGGATCAAGGCCACAAGACTGGTCGCCGAGACACAGAGGTGCCAGCAGTGAGCATGCTTTTGTGTGAGCGTGTTGGTCAGCATGTGTTGGTCAGCCATTTTTTGTGTGTTTTGCAGAAGCTGTCAGTGTTCTGGTCGTTTTTGAGGCCGTGGTGGGCACCACTTGGGTCAGCAGCGCATGATCCTCGGTCCACAGCTATCACAGTCATCCTGTGTCAGCCAATAGTCGGGTGCCGAGGCCCAGCATCGTTCAGACAATTCCGCAGGCGCAGGCCTCGACAAGCCTTCAACGACTTTCATGGCAAATCATGAGGTAACCTTCATGAGGTAACCTTGAGGTGACTTTGCAGAAGTTCGAGTTGGAGTCCAAGGTGCCAGACATGGACTGTCATCAAGTGCTGGGTGCATCTCGAGGTGCGTCTCGCACGGAACTCAAGGCAGGAGTGGCCATGAGACATGCCATATCTATCTATCCATCTACGTATGTAAACAATGTATATGTATGTATATATCCGGCTGTAGCTCACACGGGCCAAACCTGTACAACAAGATAGACAGCCTGGCAAACACGCGGAGTATGCCTTATTGCTGCAACGGGCGCGCGCGCCATTCGACCCTGCCGTGTAGGCGGTAAGCCTTGGACGTGTTGGTACACCGCAATCACACCTATGTCGATTCGCCAGCGTGCAAAGGCCAAAAGAGGCGAACTCGTATGCAAGTGGAAGCGGGTATACCATTAAAATGAGAGGCATACTTATGACAGAGTTCACTGCTGCCAAGACACACCAACAACGACCACACTAACCACACCGAGCTAAGGTGGAGTTCACGATGAAGTGTATGCCTCAAGGAGGCATGCTGAAAAGCAAGCTCCACGACCTTGGGTTCCAAAGATTGCCCTCCACCTGGGGAGATTCTTGAGCAACTGCAAAATCAGGTATGGTCGTCCTTAAGCCACATGCTCCCGCTGGGCAAAGCATATCGGGCCCGAAAAACAAGGTCCCAAATCATGTACATGGGGGGACCTTGAGCTCGTCGAGGCTAGATACAAGCTATCAGTAACTTTAGACCAGTGCGGTCCCTTTATACGGCAGGGTTTATGCGGTTTCGTCAATGTTCAAAAGTGAATGGTGTCTGTTGCATTCGACAGATAGTCGTAGACAAACAAAGACCCAACGTGGGCTTCATTTCATGAGTCCTACAGAATACTTCCTTTAAGAACAACCAGGCAAGAGCAGAACGTGAACAATGAACAGAATAAACGAAAGGATTGGTGGGTCGGTCATGCTTTTTCGTACGACTTGCAGACCTGCCGACTTTTTCGTCACTCGAGACAACAAGATTTGTTTTTTGGGGGAACGGTCTGTTGTGTGGGTTGAGTGTGGCTTGCCAACTGTTCGAGTTGTCTTGGATTTGGCGCTGCTCTTGGACTCGGAGTGGTCTCCTGGATTGGGCTTGGCCGTTGTCTTGGAGAGAGGGTGTGCTCGCTGTTTGGGGTCGACGTAGGCATTGTGTGCACAACACTTAAATGGGGTCATATGGTGTCTCAACTTCAGAAGGTTGGGATTGCTCAAGCCGCGCGGCACAAGCTCGCCAGCGTGTGTAACGCACCTTCTTACTCCAGCTTAGCTCGTGTTTTGGACGAAAATCGAGCTCTGGCCTATAGGAGCAGACATATGCAACCGATGCACGGAGTTTTGGGGTCTCTCTAGTTTCCTCGCAAAATTCGCATGACACAGTTTTGAAGTGGCTTCGGGGAGGGTACCAAGTCGTGTTCGAATGTCCATGAACGTTCCGTACTTGAGAAAGTGCTCCCACCCAGGTCTCTTGATTGCTCTTGGCAATTGGGAGCTCCAGTGGCTGATGGCTCTTGTAGTACAAACGTGGTATGCAATGTATGCAGAGGACGTTCGGAGCTCCAGCGGTTCAAACTCAAAGTTCGTAGTGCAAACGGAATGCAAGCCACATGTGTCTCTCACTGCTTGGGGTCTGCAGTGGCATTGACCTCTGACCTGTTGTACGGCGTGACAGGTTTACTGCAACCGGCAATTATCGGAAGTGTACCCACGCTCTGGGTAAAGGTCCATGACACAGACATGGCACCCACATGTGCCGATATGAGTCACGAGATGTCACGAGATCGCACAGCATGGCACAGCATGGCACAGCATGGCACAGCATGGCACAGCATGTCATAGCATGTCACAGCAATGCAGTGGCAGGATGCCTTCTTGGCCAAAGCCAAGCAGCACAACCCCTTGGCGGATGTTCAAGATGGCGGGTGCGCTCTCCCACTTGCTGCGTTCTTTACATATCCGTATGCATGTCAATCTGAACATTCTGCTTTGGGTCCGCAGAGCGGCACACTAGGGCAGCTTCAGCATGCACCTTGAAATCTACCAGTTGGCTGATTTGGCAGCATTTCTCGGGGGTATGGGTGTGCGGGGTGCAGGTTGCTGGGGGGGAGGGGGGGTTGGGAACTATGACAACGGAATTGCTGACATCAGTCCTCACGATGCATGCCCCTAGTGCCACATCCCCGTGTAGAACCAAGATTGGATGCGAATGTTGCACTGGCTTTAGTAGGGGCCCCCTCAAACAAATCTGGCACCCTCTATACAAAAGTTTTCCCGGGGCCCCCCCCCAAACAAATTTTTTTTGAGGGAGAACCCCTTACGCCCCGAAACCTTTACCCCTGGCGGCCTGAAGCTGTCTAGCCTTCCTGGGCCACGGCCCTTCAAACCTGAATTGTTTTGGGCCTTAAAGCCTGACGTTTTCCTGCCTTCCTGGGCTGAAGCCAGTGGCCTTAGAGCCTGAAGCCTTTGCTGAGCCTGAGAGAGCTCCGTACCTGAGGTTCTATTCCCAAGCAAGGGGCAAAAGGGCCTGAGACTGCAGCTGACTTAATCCCAAGAAGTTTCCACCAGAAAAACTTGTGAGCACCCGTGGGCTACCAACCGATCACGAAATTTGTTTGGGCCTCGTTTCGTAATGAAACCTAAATGAGGAGCTGGCCAGGCTTGGCATTCTAGATTTTCCGGGTTCGGGCTCCCGAAGGTTCCTGGAGCCCAAGGCCCTTAAGGCCTGAAACCTTTAGCTGAGCTTGAGAAGGCACATTACCTGAGTTTTGGAACCAAGAAAGAGAAAAAAGGGTCTGAGACTGCAGCTGCCCAAATCCAACAAGTTTGTCTTCCAAAAACTGGTGATCATAGCAACTGACACCAACAGTTTGAGCTCGCAAAATGGTCCGGGAAGCTTGTGGTTATACGACGGCCAAACTTGCTTTCTAGTCTCGGCATGTTTCTGTGCAGGACTCATTTTGTCGTTGCGAGGATGTGCTACGAGTTTCTGGATCTGGGCCAAGATTTATTTGCAACTTGCAGACAGGATCAGAAAGGCCTGTATCCAAGTCAGCTGTGGAGCTTAGGCAGCACCTCAACGTAGTGAAGAATGTCGGAGCCCTGTCCAAATGCCACTGGCCGAGGCACGGTTCCCGAATGTTCCCGCAGATTTTTAAGTTGTTTCTGTGTTCATTCTTCCACGCAGGTGGAAGATCTGGATGCTAGCCCCCTGCAGAGGCAAGCAATGACTGGAAGCTGTCCCCCCAATGTCTTTTCTGTAGAGTTCAAGGTGGAGTGGATTGCAGTCGACCCGAGCATTCCTTGGCAGCCTGATGTCCAAGGCAGGCGAGACAGCCTCTGTGTGAGACCGACGAAGTCACATGTCAGCTACGAATGCAACGGTTCGATTGAATTCCATGGTTTCGGACAGCTGTGTTTCGGAGACCATTGCTCTACATGCGCTCGGCCCTATGTCCTTGTGTTGTTGTGTCATTGCCGACACCGGCAGTCGATGGTTGTCGTTTCTTGTTGTCGTCCAATTCGCTTTGCTGCTCAGTGGACTCCCATGTACATGCCTGAGAGATAAGTGCTGCCTGGTCAGCCTGGCAGCTTGGACAACGGAAATCAGGCTCCGCAAGCAACAGCAGGGCCGAAGAAGTGGACTACGTCGGACTCAGTAGGCTTTGGAGGCTGTCGGTCACTTGTTTTGTTGGCGGTTTGGCCATCCTCACAGCGCAATGCAAGAACGGAACAAAATAAGTACCGTAGAAGAGGCATGGCGGTATGACAGTTTGACGTTACAAAAATAGATTGCGCAGCATGGACATGGAAGGAACGACAAAGTCCGAGACTTTTCATACCCAAAACTGGGGAACGGGGGAAAGGGCTTTGAAACCCTGAACCCAAAAAGGCGATGCTGGTCCTGTGCAGAGCTCGAACTTCAGCACTTCATAGCATTGAAAGAATTTAGCAAGC